AGGGCTTTGGGTATGTAAGAAAAGTCAGAAAATTTCAACAGCCTCAGACCAATACTTTTTGAGTTATGTAAAAAAACTACAGGGGGGGGGGTCAAATTGACCCCCCCCCAGCAGGAATAGGGTTAAGTGAAAAATAGAATATTCAATAAAATCATAATTTAAATTTTGCCGCAAACGTTAACGTAAAAATATAAACTTTTTTATGCATCTTGTAAAATTTTGTCAATATGATTCTAAATATTTAACATCATTCACTAATTTGTTAAAGAAACATCGTTTTTTACAACTATTTTTACAAACAAATATGTTGATTTGCTTGAAATCGGAGAAAGAAGGACACTATTTGATACTTGATCAAAAAAATGTCCAAAATTAACAAATTTTTTATTTAAGAAAAATGTTTCCTGGTTTGTATTCCAGGATATGTTCCTGAGTTCTTCAGAGGTAACTATCATGGGTCGGCTTTAACCCTATAATACTGAACATCTTTATATCCAGCATAAAAGAAATGATAGTTCTTCTTGAAATTCGAAACATCCCTTAAAGATCACAACAATCAGATCAGTTTAGTTACATTTTGGCCTCGCCTCAATTTCTGAAACAAGAAAATTAGAGAAAACTTTATAAGATTGCTTGTATCTTTTGTTTATAGGTAATATTTACATTAAATCGTCTTGAATATGACCTAATTTTAAATAATTATAAAAAATGTTTGTAAATCACAAATTTCGATTAGATGAGTTTTTCGGGACCCTTTTTTGCCTTTTCTCAGTTTCCGATTTTTTGGGACCATTTTACTGAGACACTCTGTATGATGGGATGTTTTTAAAAATGAATTCTACCATACACCTTATCATCTACAACTTATTGGTGAAGGTCGTTGTTCAGCTATACGTGGTCGACCTTATATGGGTCAATTCGTAGCACAATGACCAGTTACAATTATGCTCATAAACATTACAAATTACATAAGCTAGTAATTTAATTGTATGTTGCTTGTCATGAATTGGTTATTTCTTCAAATCATGTTTAGGTTTGTATTGCAACCACAAATCAGCTAATGCTGAATGGGATAAACCTTTAGATGGGTTTAAGTGTTTACCGACTACTCTGGTAGTTACTGGAGGATGGCAATTTCCTACGGTATGCGTGGTTTCTGATTAAAATTCAATTAAATTGGACACCTTTTCACTCATAGCTTTTTAAAGGGAGTGTTCTCAAAAAATGAAAGGGGGTATAAGCTTACGGCGAAAAATTAGCGATGGTGATCGCTACGATGATTATTTCCGCTAGGTGTCTTTGCCACGTGGAATCACTCACAGCATCGAGAGTAGAGACATCTGACGGCCAATTAATTGGCGCTTTAAGTGCATTGTATATAAAACAAACAAACAAAATATTATGAAAAATCAACTTTGTACGAATGCGTCGAAAAATTATCGATGATTATAGGTTGTAATATCTGAATTATTTGTTGGGAATTAAATTTTTCGCCGTAAGCCTATACCCATTTTAATTTTTTGCAAACACTACCCTTTAATAGAAGAATTACTAATATTCAAACCAAAGATAAGGAAGTTCAGAGATCTACTATAAAGGCTGTAATATGCGATACCCCATTATGTGCAACTGGAGTACACGATCAAATTAAAAGACATCTATTTTCAGGGACCTCTATGGATCTTTTTTATATGAAATGCAAATAGATTAAATTTAGATATTTTATGTTTTATGTTAAAAGTTAGAGCATTTCTTTTAAAATTGTAAAACTTAAATCCCTGAATGGGTATAGAATTTACCCAATGACTACCGTTAGCATGGCAGTCATCCTTTATTAGACATACAGCATGTAGAGGTACGACTATAGGTCTACTGAGCCCAGCCCGTGAAGGCTGATTAGCAGTCTGTATTTATCTAGTTTGTGATGCAAACAAATAAAATTTTATTTTTTGCTAATTGGACGTGAAATGAAAACTAGATGAGTTACAATCGGATACAAATTTAATTTCATATAAAGGATTCTGATTTCTTATCCCTATATCTTCGCAACCCTAGGCCTAGCCGGGAGACCCTCCAATTACAGTTTACTTTTATCATCCTTTTTGATTTGTTAAATTATTGTTGTTTCGCAACTGGCGTTGCCCTGAGTTATACAAAATCTAGTACCGTGGTGTATTTCGTTGAGCCGAACCGTAAGCTCCCCTACTATCGCTCTTCCTCACCATAAATCAAAGACAGGAATAGGCTTCAAGTTTATTTCGGATCTGTGCTTCAGTCAGACAAAAATAAACAGTTATAAGGCTATAGAAAAGCTTCGAAAAGTACAATCAATCTATTCTTAATCAAAGATAATCATCAGAAAGTACTAAACGGGCATTAAAACCTGCAACCAAGCCTTGATCATAAACATGCGATACAAAACATGTAAAAGAATAATTTAATAATCAAATTAATATATTTACCACAGTAGTCCTCCGATTCTTGCACGGTAATCGATATAAATAACAATATATAACTAATGCGCAATACATGACAATTGTCGGTAAAAAACAGGTTTTATCATCTTGAAACTCTCTTAAGAATAAACATCTTGAACAGGGGTGAATGGTATAAACAACCAATTATATTCGTTTAATATTTACCAATTATATACTTTTGACTTAATTAGAAAAACCGATTCTATAATTGTGACTTAATTCAGTGCATGTAGCCCATCTTATACCTGTATCTACTAGCTTAACTTTACCAATTCTATAATTCAGTGCATGCAGAGCCCATCTTATACCTTTATCTTCTAGCTTTACTTTACCAATTCTATAATTTTGCTTTTTTAAGTTTAACCAATTCTTTACTTTTAATTCTAAATAAAGTATGACCAAATCATACTGTTGCTCTTTTAGAACAACTATTTCTATACTTTTGCTCTATTTAGTGTAACCAATTGTTCACTATTTCTCTATTTGGTGTAACCAATTATTTACTATTTCTCTACTTGGTGTAACCAATAATATAATATTGCTCTATTTAGTGTAACCAATTGTTCACTATTTCTCTATTTAGTGTAACCAATTATTTACTATTTCTCTACTTGGTGTAACCAATAATATAATATTGCTCTATTTAGTGTAACCAATTATTCACTATTTCTCTATCTAGTGTAACCAATTATTTACTATTTCTCTACTTGGTGTAACCAATAATATAATATTGCTCTATTTAGTGTAACCAAGTCTATCTATTGCTCTATTTAGTATAACCAAGTCTATACTATTGGTCTATTTAGTATAACCAAGTCTATACTATTGCTCTATTTAGTATAAGCAAGTCTATACTATTGCTCTATTTAGTATAACCAAGTCTATACTATTGGTCTATTTAGTGTAACCAAGTCTATACTATTGCTCTATTTAGTGTAACCAAGTCTATACTATTGCTCTATTTAGTATAACCAAGTCTATACTATTGCTCTATTTAGTACAAGCAAGTCTATACTATTGCTCTATTTAGTGTAACCAAGTCTATACTATTGATCTATTTAGTATAACCAAGTCTATACTATTAGTCTATTTACTATAACCAAGTCTATCTATTGCTCTATTTAGTGTAACCAAGTCTATCTATTGCTCTATTTAGTATAACGAAGTCTATACTATTGGTCTATTTAGTATAACCAAGTCTATACTATTGGTCTATTTAGTATAACCAAGTCTATACTTTTGGTCTATTTAGTATAACCAAGTCTATCTATTGCTCTATTTAGTATAACCAAGTCTATACTATTGGTCTATTTAGTATAACCAAGTCTATCTACTGCTCTATTTAGTATAACCAAGTCTATACTATTGCTCTATTTAGTGTAACCAAGTCTATTAACAGTTTTGACGGTTATTAAATACAAACAGACAAACAAACAACAACAATTATTTATTCATCAGGGGCACGGTAACACTCTGCGGGGGCATCCCTGGCTGGGGAAACACAGGATGCTTTGCTTACGATTTCATTGAAGGAAACGAATCAATCTTCGTCATAAATCATTCTACCATTTTACAATTTACCCCGCAAATGCAAAATATTTCTTCATCAATTTAGTGTCAACAGGTTTTTAACACATACTTTAAATGTTTATGAGTATTGAATATTAATTCTAAAATATTGGATCGTTAATTTTGTAGGAGGAACAAATCTACAGGTATTTTTATCGACATTTTTTATTCATATATCACATTTAGTTCCATGGGTGCAAACGTAAAAAAAAGTATATATTTAAATATTTTTTATTATTGCTAAATTTTTGTTAATCCTTTCTACTTCTTTAAACTTCATTAATATTTAAGGCATTTTAATATAAAGCACGAAATTGGAAGCATATCGCCAATGCAAATAGAAAATTGAAATGTTCTGTTGATTTGTTTAAAATAGTTAGTTAAACATCAAAATATGTACATAATATATACCATATATTGTATATGTACAATATATTTAAACATCAAAATATGTACTTAATTTGTACAATATATGTAAATTCGATAAAAAGTCTAAACATAATTTTTTTTTAAAAAGGAAGTGAGTTCTCTCCTTTAACCCTTATATTTTCAAACAATTGACCACATTTAGATCAATCGACGAGAATTTGCCAATTACTTCTTAAAAACAAGTTTTTCATAGACCTAAAATGTCCCAGTCTACAAAAAGAAAAGATATTTAGTGAGTTAAAACTTAAAATCAAAAGGTATAAGCGTTGCGAAATCTAAAAACAGAAAATTGGTGCAGTAGTATTTTGAATCTACGTATATTGTTATATCAACTATAAATTCTGCAAACTTTATTCCAAAAAGTTTGAAATATCGATTGTAGTCTATTAAAGGGTGTAAAGACAGAAGGATTACAAAGCTGAATAAAGTTTTTGCCACAAACTCTGATTTTCTAATCCCTAAATCTTTGCTACTTAATGCAGGGGAAGTAAGTTCCAAACCGTGCTTATGTTTCAAACCTGACACTGAGTGTTAGGTTTGGGTACACATATCATGATCAAGGTTTTGGTAAGTTTTCCTGTGCTGAGAGAAAATAATAATTAAAGAAACTATTTCCAACATATATTTTCATTTAAACCCCTAACAATTTTCGAAACAATTCAAGGTTTTCCAATTTCGCACATATCACAAAATCGAATCTTGGACACGTTTTGGAACATAAACCAACTTTCAGAGCAATCCATAATTTTAAAATATTCAACAATTCAGAACAAAATGCACTTTTAATAATTTTCGGAAAAGCACGAATCCTTGAAAATATTTGTATTCTCCAAATTATTTTAAAATTTGTTTCCACAATAATATTTTTAAATGTTGAGAGTAAAGATCATTTCAAGTTTCCTCCTTTTTTGCCGACAAATGTTTGGCATTTGTCTGATAAATTTAATTGTAAGTACAATATAATGTTGATATTAGAATTTTCCAATCTTACAAGTCGTTATATTTTAAAATATCATAGTAAAATATATTTTAATTCTACTTGTTTTGTGTAAATGCTTGAAAAGTATCATTAATTCAAATCTGTGAAATATCTCAAATTCGTGAAATGTTCAAAAACTTGTTTTAAAACCCACACTTTAAATTTGCTTTAAAAAATGTGACATGTTCTAAAATGAAATCATTAATCATCAAAAATTGAAATTTATTTAACCCTATCTCTGCTGGGGTACTTGAAAACCAGGATTTGCTAGGGGGTGTCAATTTGACCCCCCCCCCTCTAAATCCCATGTTTGATGTCCAAATATGACAAATGATACATCATTGGAAAGCTCTTGTGCTCTACTTTTAGAATCTGCAAAAAAATTTGCAAATTTGCAAAAATTGAAGTTTTTATCGCAAAATCCAGTTATATAGTAAAAATGTTTGCAAAATAAATTTGTCCAAAAAATGAAAAATTATACATTTTTGAAAAGCCCTTGACCATACCATTTTAAATATGCAAAAATTTGTGCAACATTTTAAATAACCTGATTTTTATTCAAGAAAAACTAAAAATGTGCAAATTTCCTTTGATAGGTTGTTTGCAAAAAATTTGCAATTTTTTTCTCGCAAAACTTGTGCAATTTGTTTCCTTATGTCAAAGGCTTTCCAAAAAGCTAAATTTTATCAAAATCTGACAAGTGGAAGTGGGTCAAAACAAAGATTTAGTTTGTTAAAGGAAAAAGCAGTCATTCAGGCAGTGTGCCTGAGGACTCAGGCAGTTAGTATTAAAGCCTGGTTTTAGGCCTAAAGGAAGGGCTTTGGATATGTAGGAAAAGTCAGAAAATTTCAACAGCCTCAGACCAATACTTTTTGAGTTATGTAAAAAAAACTACAGGGGGGGTCAAATTGACCCCCCCCCCCAGCAGGAATAGGGTTAATTGTAAGGGTTTAGTATTTGATTTGTTGTTAAAAATGTGGCCTTAGCTATTCTAAATTTAAGTATCCTGAGCTGAAAACTTTAGAATGGTGGATATCGGGATTAAGGCTTAATCCTCTCTTTTTGATAATCTCAAGATTAACATAATCTTGCAAGATTATCTTAAAAGTGTATGAAAAACGGTAAAATTCAAATTAATATTTAATCATCTGAGAAACTGTAGCAGCCAATCAGAGAAAAGCGGGCAACCAATGAGAGAACAGAAATATGCTCATTGGAGAAAACAATTAACGGATATCCAAGGAGAGAGAAAAAGAGTGGATTAGGACAAAAATGAAAAGGTTTCACAGTGGATATTCGGATCAAGAAGTCAGGATTAAAGTTTATCCATTCTAAAGTTCCCGGCTCAGGCGGTTTTTTACTTTTCGATTTAAATTGAAAAATATAAACATTTAGGAGATAACTTTGCACATGTGTCCCAAACCTGACACTCTGTGTCAGGTTTGGGACAAATCATGGGTTGGAACTTTCTTCCCCTGTTATGTTGTAGACCTTATTTATTTCAAACTGTGAATTCTGTTAGAACAAATAATCTAATTTTAAAATATCAAAGATTTACAACATTACAGGCCGAATTAAAAGATTTTGAGACGCAGCTCAAATTTGAAACGGAGCCCAAACATGGTTGGGGGGGTTACATTTAAAATTGTATTCAATGTTTCGAGATTTGAGTCGGCGCTCAATTGGAACCGGTTTTTGTCAGTTCGGCGACGCGGTTTAAATTCTTTGAATTCGGCCTAAGGTTTCAAAAATATATGGATCAGAAAGTTTGGAGTTGTGGCAAAGACTCAAATCCGTTAGAGTTTCAGGCGAAAAATCATTTTCTTTTTGTTCTTCTAGGTTAAACTAGCTGTTCAAAGAACTGACAGTGTTTCAATTATAGTACAGGACAGATACTATATAATTGGTAAATTAAGTCTTTAAAGGGACTGTCTTAGCAATTTTTGTTTAAAAGTTATGAATTTGAAATTAAAGAGTCTATAACCATTTACCTTCCTCATCCTCAATTTTAATATTTTGGTATCTTGAGTATTTCAAAAATATTGATTTACTGTTTGATTACCTCAAATTAAAATATACGTTTTTTTACGTTTTTTTAAATTTTTTTTTACATTGAAAAAATATATTTTTTACTAAATAAAACATCAAAATGATTATTATTGAAGCTTATGCTGAAATGAACTCGGGAATGCATGACAGGATATCAGAGAATTGATTTAGAGAAAATTAAATAATTGAGGGAGTGACAGCAATTATCAAAAATGTCAAAAATAGGAATTTCCCAAATGCCTGGGTATCTGGGAAATTTCTCAAATGCCTGGGTATCTGGGAAATTTCTCAAGTACCCAGGCATTTGAGAAATTTCCAAAATCTTAAAAATATCCCACCCTCAAATACCTATAGGAATTTGGGGAATTTCCCAAATGCCTGGGTATCTGGGAAATTTCCCAAATGCCAAGGTTTTTGGGAAATTTCCTATTTAAAAAAAAATGTAAATGCTGTCGTGTCATGAAATAATTTTCAAGAAAACTTTTCTATGAAATGATGTGCCAGGACCCAAAAGGTTATATAGCAATTTTGTGCAGTATGGAAACTGTGCAACAAAATGGCCGTTTTACACTTTTTTCGAGTACATTCCACTCTATGTATAATCTATTCTCTTTGAGTATAACCTCATTGTGGCACGTGTATATATTATGATATTATCTAGGTGGAAGTGGAGCAGGGGCTGGGACTACTGAATATTTACAGGAGAGAGGTTCGTATTCTGCCTACCTCTATTTAGTAAAGCTGTTATATATAAATATATATATATATGTATATATGGCTGGACCAACTGGCTGACATTTTTTAAAATTTAATTGTTTTTAAAATTCTACGGGTAAATATTAACAAATTAACAACAATAAAAAACTATATTACAATCATGTAAAGAAGAGATATAAATTATTTCGTTTACATGCCTACACGTAAGCTTTACATAGTTTTAATAAATCATAAAAAGTCAACAACAAAAAAATCCTTATACATTTTCATTAGCTCTTAGAATAAATAGGTTGCATATATAATTACATATTACTTTTAGATCTAATTAGTAAAGAAGGGATAAAGACACCAGGATTGACTTCATACAACTGTGCAATTAGGTATAAACAAAGGAATTGAGTCGTAGCTGCAAACTATGATTTTCTAATCCCTATATCTTTAAAATATTTCCAAGAATGCATTTTGAAAGATCAAATACTTTAAGTTTGAAATACGGTGATAGTCCTTTATTTCAATATAATGAAAACGACTTTTTTATTTAAGTTTTCATTGTTAACAAGTTTTTTCGAATTCAAGTTTACAAGTGATTAAAGAGAAGCTTTTTAATTGACAGATTCTCTAGTTTCCATTTTTTGTGCATACATGCTGCTTAACAGCTTAATATAAATTAAAATTAAAATCGAAAGTCGTCTTTATTGTATTTATACTGACAGTTTGCAAAGATATTGGGATTAAATAAATTGAGTTTGTGGCAAAGACTCAAATCTTTTCATCATTATCTGTAGCAAACCAAAACAATATCTTTATTATTACAAATAAATATACATTGATTTACAATGATTGAATAATCAAATATAATTAAGACTAGAAAGAGATAAAATTGTTAAAATGAGGAGATTTGTTCTTGTTTTTTAAATGATTTTATAACAGTAAAATCCAGTTAAATATTTGATTACATATATATGCAGCAGTAGTTTGTGTTTCTATAAACTTTAAATATTTAATTAGTGTTTTTTCTTTTTATCGTAAAAATGTGGGATTAATCAAAAATGTAGAAAACAATTGCGTTCGTTGCCTTTTAAATTTTTCCTTCATATTTCTAATATTTAGGTTTTCGGACAAATCCTTTATAACTATTGGAAAAGACATTGTCACTGAATATGATATAATCACAGGTGAATTACAAAAAAAAATGTTGCAAAGTTTTATTTTTGAAGAATTCAATATTTAGTTTTAAAAAAAATGTCTTTATTGTTTTTTTTTTCCTTGCCGAAGGTTTAAAGAATACTCAAATTATTTAATGTCGATTTATTTTGGCCAACCTCCCAAGTGAAATCCCTGAAACACAATTAGCAGAGACACCTAGCGGCCAAATAGTTGTTGTTTAAAGTAAAAAACCTTACAAACTATCAACTATATACGAAAGCATCGAATTAAATTCGACATGTATAGGTTGTAATAACTGAATAATTTATTTAAATTTAACTGAATTATTTTACGATCTAAATGGAGTAATGCAACTCCGTGGATTTGTATGGTTCAAGGCTCTTGGGTGTAAGACGTTTTTAACAATTTACTCCTTCAATCAATATCGATTTTAATTCGATATCAGCTTTTACATTTCATTTTTCGCGAACACTTCCTTTAATGTTTTGTTATTTGTTAGGAACTAGCAAAGATCTTCCTAAGCTTAATATCCCTCGCAATAAGTTTGGCTGCAGTTCTTTCCTGGTATGTACACATCAATTATATGGACTTAAAAGCAAATTTCTTAAGGGTTTTCTATTAAGCCGTCCTATGCCCTATCTCAAAATGAGTGTATGTAGTAAATGCCGACTCCATCAAAGTCTTTCAGACCCATATTAATGTAGGTACAATCCGGAACTGACGTTTCCACGAATACCACTATCCATGTCAATCCAGACACAACATCTGAGCCCGCGATTAAAAAACTTCGGCTCAAGCCGTAGTTCCTTAAACCCCATCTTCAACCCAACTCTGACGACAGCTTGTGTCACATGATTGACAGCTGCAAGATCTTAGGCTCAACTTAGGAGTTAGATTCAATAAAAATAAAACAGACCTTAGTTGGTTTTAGTGGAGCAAGGCTCAATGTTTAGCCTTGTTCTTTACTTCGTAGAAATTATGCATAATTTTGCAAAATTAGAGTTTCGCCTTTTACGCGTAATCCTGCAAAATTACACGAAATAAAATGTTTTCTTGTAACTGCACCTATATTTGAATAATCTATTACGTTGGAAACCCTATACCATAATCAAAGCTGAGTATTTTCCAACTGACATGTATTTAGATATCTATGTTACAGGTTAAGTTAATGTACGTATTTACAAGATTTGCACAGATATATATAAGAGTAGTTAAACTAATCACAATACAGGTTTGAAGTAGTTATTTACAGACGTAGCAAGGTTAGATTAATTGCAATACAAGTTTTGCGTAGTTTATCATAAGCACATTTAGATTTACAGACAATGTACAATGTAATTTATTTAGATATGTTCAAATGTATAATTATGGAATTTGGTTCTGTATTTATAACATGTAAACATATTTCAAAGTAAATACTATAAGATTTTGTAAAGAAAGTACAATTTCGACCAAACATCTTTAGAATATTCATGAGTTTCTACAGAATAAATAAAAATGTTATGGCTTGCATTTATATACTTTGGACATATGACTGATTGAAAAAAGTAAACAATAAATATATTTACAAATTTGCAAAATGTTCACAAAACGTTGAATAGTTAAATTTAAAAATTAAATTGAATAATGAAGAAGTAGTAAATCCCTTTGAAGACCATCTTTAGGATGTTGATGGGGAGGAGGTGTTTGTTGTTGCTGGAGGAGACACTGTTCTTGCATCAAGTAAGATCAATTGTTTCGCTACTTAGCGATTTCCCTAAAGACCTAATATATATACTGTGTGGTATTTCTCAGGACCGGATCGTAAGACTCCCTTCTCTCAACGCTCTTCATAATAAAAGGATGATAGTAAGGTTCCGAACGTTTATTTCTCTGAGCCTTCAATCTAAATCAGTTTAATAAACCCACAGAAAAAGCTTTGAGTGAAAATCATACAAATATAACAAATAATCCACTCAGGCATTAAAAAACTGTGGCTAGGAACCAATAAACGAATACATAATCATCAATCATACTAGAATCAACCAATAAACATAGATATATATAAAATAATTACCACGGTGATCCCAGAATTCTGAACACGGAAAATACTTGCAAAACGAATAAACATATACTGAATATAAATATAACTACTACTCCGCTAGAAATCTTGCGTCTGCGCAGTCGGACTGTAAACAGTTCCTAAACTAGTT